TTCATTACAAGCGGGAGATGCAACTGACATTGAGTTTAGTCTCCCACCGAAAGCAAACTGGTTTGCAATTTTGTATATACATTAGTATATATATATGTATAGGTGGATGTTATTGCATGTAAGTCCGTAGAACTTTCCCTACTTATATGGTTCAGAAATACTTCTTCTCAGGATCACAAAGCAAGCCTCCTGTTGATAATTCATGTCGCCCGTAGAAAAGAGAGCCTAAGCAGTAGTGATCCTATACGGGAGTTTTTCTTTCCTGCCTATTTGAGGGCCTTTTACTGGTTAAACCTCTCCAAGGAGAGCTCAGTTCTTAGACGTTATCCTTTTTAATTGAGCAGATCAGAGACGCCTTTGAAGCTTTCCTATCTTAATCCAGAAGGGACAGATCGATACCACTCATCGGTCTGTTGTATAGTGAATCCTCAACAGGAGGGCAATGCTGAGAATCCACACATTCCTGGCGAATCAGAAGGGTGAGTTCATCTTGGAAGTCAGCTTTGGTCGAGGTGCGAATAAGGCGGTAGTGTACCAAGCTACTACGGCTAACTTCAGTCTCGTAGGCCGTGAGATTGCTTGGCCATCGTACTTTAAAACTCATGTGGTAATTTTTTGTTGAGCCTCCAAGTAAAGCAGCCAGCTCTGAGCAGTCACATATAGGATTTATTAAGGACTTAGCGCACTGGCAGTTCAAAGCAATGAAGGATTCACAACGGCTTGGATAAATGAAAAAATCGGGATAAACCATATGAGTCAGGGTCAAGTATGCAAAGTAAATGAAATAACAAACAAAAAAACGTGCAAAAAATCAACAGTGAATGCAATCTTGTTATCCAGCTGCACGTGTGAAGAGGAGTCAGTGAACGAAGACCAGGATAGATTGGACTATCGTCTCCGAAGTGCACATCTCATCCCATTATTCTCTCTATCCTCGGTAACGAAGCTGTCAGCTGAAACTTTCTCAATTTGCTCCATCGTTTGTGAGTAGAAAAGCTGAGCCTAATTGATCTGGTTCAACTGTGCCGTATGGGGGAAGCGGTTTCCTGCTTTCAAGGAAACATTATCTCCAGGGAGAAAATATTTTGGTAAATTCGATGTTGTCGCCTTGAGAAAGCACCATGAAAGTCTTAGTTCAATCAGACCATTTTTAGTTGCAGACGGAATTATTTCAGAAGGGGTCAAAGAATGGTCGTACTCAAAGGTACTTAATCTTACTCAGCACTTGAGAAGTACGGCGAACTATTTCCTAGACTTCTGTTTGCATACCAACCACGTGTTGACGAAGAGCAGCAAAAAATTTTCCTAAATAAGATAACGTCAAGATGTACTCAATGCTCGAAGAGTTTGCAGAAGGAATTGGGTTCGGGTTGGCTTATATAATGAGAGCAGTCATGGAAAGTAAGTTGCCAGATGCTAACTTGTCAGTTAATTTCATCGGTATCATACGTTACCCCCCCCCGTCATTGATTGGTTAGATACATAACAATAATGAATAAGACGTGAAACATATCACTTGGCATTGATATGGGGAGTATGGTGGGGATTGAGAGTTGGGCCATTAGAAAATGTCAACGTGCTTTCACCTTCGTGGTGGTGAAATTTAGCAACAAAAAAGTAAACATTATCGGATGATTCTCAATAAAAATCCAAATGCTTCATTTTGACATGCAGTGATTGGAATCGGTGTAGAAAAGAGCAGTTGAGAGCACTCAGGTAAAGCTCAGAAGGCTTGAAACTATGCAGACACTCCATGGCAAATTAAGGTCGTTCCGCAGCCTCACCTGTGTTCGATTTGAACTTTCGGATCCAATTTTATTGGTCACTCTGATCATGCATGAAGTGATGTCTGAAAAATGGAGAACGTTAAAAATCCCCTAGTGCGCTAATCAGGTGTTCGCACTCGCTTTATCCCATTGGCTGGCTCGCTTGCACATTCCAAAAGTTTCGCTAAATGTCCTATTATTACTTGACAAGAAACTGTGTAGACACACTCGCATCTATTGTTATTATTTTTGTTTACCAGTTCTCTACTGTGTATCAGGATAATGAGATTGTCATTTCCCTTCCCTTGTTATTTTAAAGTGTCATTTATTTAGTAGATCCCCGCAGACCAGTGTTTCGAGTCTGATAAACAGTCAGAAGAGCAGACGTAAATGTCACCAGAGCTTGTCTTTCTCGCAGCGTCTAATCCGTTCGAGTAAGAGTTGTCGCCAAATTTGACAACCTGACAATACGGTTTACGTGAGGATTTGGTACTGTGCCTGGCAGACAGTTCGCCCAATGGACAGACAGAGTGCTTAGCAGTTAACAAGAAAATCGGTGACAGGATGTGAAGAAAGACTGATCACCGTCTGCCCATTCCAATCGCTTGTCTTTCAAGCACTTCATTGTTGGTCCACATATGACTATAGTAAATCGTACATTGAGTCAGTATCTTGGCTTAAGCTGATTTGCAAATCAGAAACAAAGAGAACGGTGCTTAGCAGTTAACAAGAAAATCGGTGACAGGATGTGAAGAAAGACTGATCACCGTCTGCCCATTCCAATCGCTTGTCTTTCAAGCACTTCATTGTTGGTCCACATATGACTATAGTAAATCGTACATTGAGTCAGTATCTTGGCTTAAGCTGATTTGCAAATCAGAAACTAAAGAGAACGGGAGGAGTCACAGTTTTGATGAAAACAACATATTGGGATGGAACGAGCATCTTGAATTTGAGTAGATAAAGATGAGTGAATAAATTCAATCCAGCAGGTGATAGCAACTTCTGGTAAATACAACACTTGGCTTGTAGGACTTGGTGAGAGAAGCATCCAAAAGATGCATCGTACATGGATTTGTGCCCTTAGGCCTTTGGTCCTCCACAAAATTGCGCGGGCTACTGCAAAGCTGAGGTTGACATTTGTGTGCCAAAAAATCTGAATAATAAGGCTCAGTTTTTCCAAAACAGCATCGCTTTCAGGATGAGATGGACACTGTACAGTAGTTCTGATACGTTGTAATCAAGATACATAATTGAAAAACAATACATAACAATGTATAGCTTTGATGTTCAACCTATGCGGTTCTCTGTCGTGTACACTGGTGTATGAACAGTTAACATAAGTCATGAGTGGTAATACTGATGAGAAGTCAACCGAATTATCCGCCAGTTGTCTCTCCGAATATCACCCAGTTACTTCTCTCACCTCTACTAAAAACTTTTCTTACTATACTCTTACGACTGATTCAGTCACACCACATCCCAACAAATTTTTGTGCGCACTATGCGTAATTTGACGTGTTTTGGTCGAGTTCCCTTCAAATCACACATCAATGTAGAGGACACCGGAAAGCTTCGCCTTCTAAATCCATGATCAGTTTTGACTCTGGACCTGGCAAAGTAGTAATTAATTGAAGACAAAACTACGAAACTCATATCAATGGATTCAAACACGAACAATAACTGAAACATTTTCCAAGCGCTCCTTCTCCCGAGTGTGTGCTTGAAACATCGGCCGGTTCAATAGATGCCACTGCACCACCCTCTACAAATGCGGTTTCAGATGAGTTTGGCTGTATCGCATGTGAACTACCATCTTGCTTAGAAAAACATGCTAAACGGTGTAAACTACAAGCAAGCCTTTTGGCCGCGAACGCACTACTACGGCTATACGGACAGATGAAGATGAGTATATTGTCACTTCACCCTCTGAACTAGAGTCAAGCCCTACTGTCCGTCGGTTCGAGCTCTTCGTGGAAATCGAGTGCACGGCTTAACTCCTCGCACTCTCCGATTGTTTTCTCAATGATCTTTCTCGTCGCTAGAAGCAGTAAAACTTTCTACTCCACTGGTTGGGTCTTCGGATAGTCCATCTGACGAGTCCGATTCTTGGTATATAGTATTTTTTTTCTCGGTCGATTCTTTGTCCGACTTACTTCATCAACGCTTCTATCGTCCTCTGCCAATATGTTCGTCATTCTAACACTGACGTAGGTCAGTCGTTCTTGCATTCGCTTGAAAAGAGTGTTTCTTTTTTTCTGAATCACCCGCATCTGCGCATTCTGTTAGAGCAGATACCAAGGTGGCGTGCTGACAACGCTGGCAAAACCAATCACCCTCAGGGATGGTGAGCAGCGGTGGACCTAAGTACATTGCATGATGCCCAAGATCACAACGGTCACAAAGCAGCATCCATTCAGGCGAACGGTAGCGAAGGCAAGTCCGACATAAGGACTCCTGTTCGGGTATAGGTGATCTGCACCTATGCTGTTCCGCTTCGGTTTTAAAGGTTTCTGCCTAGCTAGATTGCGTCCTTGTGTAGACTGTCAGCTAACTGAAACATTTTCCAAGCGCTCCTTCTCCCGAGTGTGTGCTTGAAACATCGGCCGGTTCAATAGATGCCACTGCACCACCCTCTACAAATGCGGTTTCAGATGAGTTTGGCTGTATCGCATGTGAACTACCATCTTGCTTAGAAAAACATGCTAAACGGTGTAAACTACAAGCAAGCCTTTTGGCCGCGAACGCACTACTACGGCTATACGGACAGATGAAGATGAGTATATTGTCACTTCACCCTCTGAACTAGAGTCAAGCCCTACTGTCCGTCGGTTCGAGCTCTTCGTGGAAATCGAGTGCACGGCTTAACTCCTCGCACTCTCCGATTGTTTTCTCAATGATCTTTCTCGTCGCTAGAAGCAGTAAAACTTTCTACTCCACTGGTTGGGTCTTCGGATAGTCCATCTGACGAGTCCGATTCTTGGTATATAGTATTTTTTTTCTCGGTCGATTCTTTGTCCGACTTACTTCATCAACGCTTCTATCGTCCTCTGCCAATATGTTCGTCATTCTAACACTGACGTAGGTCAGTCGTTCTTGCATTCGCTTGAAAAGAGTGTTTCTTTTTTTCTGAATCACCCGCATCTGCGCATTCTGTTAGAGCAGATACCAAGGTGGCGTGCTGACAACGCTGGCAAAACCAATCACCCTCAGGGATGGTGAGCAGCGGTGGACCTAAGTACATTGCATGATGCCCAAGATCACAACGGTCACAAAGCAGCATCCATTCAGGCGAACGGTAGCGAAGGCAAGTCCGACATAAGGACTCCTGTTCGGGTATAGGTGATCTGCACCTATGCTGTTCCGCTTCGGTTTTAAAGGTTTCTGCCTAGCTAGATTGCGTCCTTGTGTAAGACTGTCAGCGTCACTATAGGAGCCGATATCGTCTGGATTGAAATCACTTTCAGGCTTGTCATTCCACTCTGAAGTGCCATTCGTCTTCTTTGCACGTCGCGTATCTGAATCGCTACTCTCAGCAAACTGCCGTTGTAAAGTATCCTCCAAAAGGTCCATTCTTTAAACGATTCGCTAGAAATGGATGAGGCTAAGATATGACGAGAAGTTGACTAAATCGTTCATTAAATACTCAAATCTGCAAATTCAAAGTCATCCCAAAGGACTGGCGGTTCTGTGTCCAATTTTACGGATAAACACGGGGCTTATCTTTGGAAACTTTAGAAAATTTATACGGCTGAGTTAACTCGCTCTCTGGCAATGGTCAGTATTTCAACCACCTGTGACTACTTTTCTTTTGACCCTATTAACAAAAGCCAATCAGTATTTATGTATGCATCTATATAAATATATGCATCTATAATAAATGTATATCTATACCTGGAGTACTAGTAAGAGCTTCAAACGACCATTCAACTGGAGCACTTCTTCCCTTATGCATGTTATGTCCTTTTCGTAACTTCAGCAGACTGACTACCATCCGTTTAATGGTAACATCAAGATTACAGTTGAGACCCCATTTCCCCATTCGGTATTCAATAAGAATTTATGTCCTGACCTGATGACAGTTTTTGCCAAGAGGCCAATAAGTCCTGTGCTGTTACTTCATCCTTGCAGTGATGCTCATCTTGAGGAATTCCACTTGACTTAAAAATGCCAACGTTTCAGACAAACTACAAAGCCTAACGTTCGAATAAAAGTAAATGATTTGCATTCAAATGGACGTGGAACAAGATGGAATATATAATACCGCTTATGCCATTTGCCTTTTGTCCCTAGCGCCGTTTAGGAAATGAATTTCGTGGAGAGGAATTTACATGAATTTCGCTCGACTTGAAATCATAGAGTAACTTCCTTTGAACGAGAGAATACCGCCTTGACTTTCAAAATATATTCAGCGTAAACAGCCTGGGTCCCAGTTACTAACTGTCGCGATCACCAAAAATTTTATTGCCCTCGCATAGAGGACCAAAGCAAATACCGACCTTGGATAACTCATTACGGACTTTACCGACTGGATGAGATTTTTATCTATGCAGGGCTTGGCAAGATGGTGAGAAAATATTAAAGTATTGTACAGTAGTCCTTCTAAAAGATTGTGCGGCTAAGTATTTTCATAAATGCATTTGACTGTCTACACTGCTCAGCCAATCCCGACAGTAAATTGATTGCTTGGTTCAAAATGATAGTTACCGTTTGAAGGACTGGTCTTCGTAGATATAGCAAGGTGACTAAGCAAACCGCACGTTTTCAGGAGTTTAATTGAAAGGCATTTGTTGGGATTTGAGTAAGCAAGGCCAGCTACCACTGCTCAGTGTTTTTTCATCAGACGAATGAACTACATTCGCTGTCATCTCAAGACATTGTGGATTGCTCAAGATGAATGCAAGAGAACTCCAACCCACCCAACCACCAACCCACCGCTACGCCCCACCACGCTTCCTGATAACATACTGGTGATTTCAGCTCGATTGGTGATGAAAAGTTTGGAGTAGAACTGCCCAGCTCAGTGAACGAACCAACTGCCATGTTAACTATATATTGTGTTGCCTGTAGGGGTAACAAAAGGGGCGAGATGGCCCAAGTGGTTAGAGCGCTAATTTACTGCCCGGAAGGTACATGATTTGAACCCGACCTTTGCCTTTCGACTTCCCCTGTCTAGGTTTGGGCAACCAGGCAGTATCCCAGCCCTCGTGCTTCCTTCGGGTGGCATGGCAGCTAGACAGCAGAAGGGTGCTACAACTGAGCGATACAGTATACAGGGGTAACAAATACTGTTGTCCAGTTTTGCATCAGAAAGCCGTTCACTTGATTCCTATCTAGGTTAAGCAACCTAACAGTATCCTGAGGGTTAAGTCGCACACCTGCACAGCTAAGGTACTAAAGATAAATGAAAAAACACGGTATTCATATATTATCGAGTCCCAGATCAGTGAATGGGTGAAATGTTACCATCGATTATCAACCATACACAGATAACCTCTATGCTTACAGGTCTGCTACTAAGAACGTTAGATCGTGACAAAATGTGGTCAGGCTAGATAGGATTCTGGTGAACATTCAGAGGACGACTGAAGTATTCGAAGGCAGGAAAATTCACTTAGAGTTCATCAGTGAAATCCAAAATTCCACCCTGCAACTGTCTGTGGCTGGCATATCTTCTCCCATCCTTAGACAGAACACAGCTGTTGAGTTCCAGATATAACCTTTTCGGAGTATTTTATGGCATCCAAGCGGTTAACAGAACGACCGTGGTTATCTCTCTTCTAGTTGTTTGGAGGTTGGTTTTTTGTTGGTTACACTGTGATCAATTTTCAGAATCCATTTTGTTAACATGTCTGATTTTAGGGGTTCATTTAATTTTAATCTCATTTCCTAGATGAGGTGGCAACTGTACGTTACTCTTAGTTGTTGATAACTGGAGAACAGGACAAACTGTAGTATTTTTTACGACTAAGCAACAAGCCCTTGCTGGCGTCGAAATCTAGTTACCTCACTGGTGAGTGGTCTGCAATAGCGAGAAGTGAGGGAGATTTACTATATCTTTCCAAATACGTCTTCTCACTGACCAGGTTACGCTATTTAATCAAATTTCCATTTAAACGTAGCATTTCTCACCAACTGCATATTTTGCCAAACTTTTGGGTCCCGGAAACGCTAGCAAAGCTTATTCGGCAATTGTTTATTTACTGAGACCATTTGTGCGGCGCTGTTATTCAGAAATGGAAGGGAGACGAAGTGTAGTTCTGCCGTCATATCAGGCCCCGTCACTATAACAGACAGACAGAATTCTGTTAAATATATCCATCCACAAACTAATCTGGCTTCAGCGGGAGACTTAACTGAATCCCTGATAAAACCTTCATTTATGTATTCTCCAACTGGATGTGCTACATAAAAGGTCACCTGGTTTTTCATTTGGGACGCTATTGTAGTATAGTGCGCAATCGGAATACACCGTCCATAAGGTTTCTGAAAACTTTTCGAGGGTTTAATCGTAGACTCGGCTGTTCCCCGTTAACGCCAACTTAGTCCACAAACGGACTGCGTCCAGTCCGGCCTCAAGTGACGGAACCTCAAGGACTTCGCTCACCTGATGAGCAAAATCGGTCGTAAGATATCGTAGACTCCAGCAATATTATAGTCATCGTGTGCCATCTAGACAAGTAAAATGCCCCATCACTTAAGAAATTCGTCTTAACGGATAGTAGTCGGCACTCTGGGGGACACCCTGCATCGAATGTCAGTACACTGGAGTTACTGCACTTTCAGTGACACATATTTCGTTTTAAAATGATCATCTTTATCTCCCGCGAAAACCGTCACTATGGAAACTTTTATTCTTGTTACATTAGAATACCTGGGTGTTGCAAAAATACACAAAAGTCTAGCGCAAGATTTCGTTATTTTGCTAGTTGCTGAGATGCTATTCTTCGCCATTAGAAGTAGTCTATTTTAAAAGGTGGGTATTTAATCCTTCGACGCTGATCTCACAGGATTGGAATGGGGTTACTTTATTCGCGTGGTGGAATGTTAGCCATGCTACATGCACGCTTGTAGTTAACTGGCGGCTAGTTTTGCTCATTAAACTGCGTTACCAAGTCTAAAACTTCAAGATAGCAGTTGTATTATCGTTTCATAGCTGTTGGGAATCATCCGTGTTGGGGACCCTCGAAGATATGCTACTGATAACTCAACAGAGCTTAGTTTCCGTGGCGCTTGGGATAGGCTTCATCATGCGTGGCTTCATTCAGCATTTTAGAGCAGATTTACCAGGAAATATGAATGTTATTTTACGCCTGCAACTAGTAAATTTCGGCATGAAATCAAACGAATTGTCAGACAGTGCTGAAAACTTCACCGCAGATTATGAATAGGAAAGCTCAAGTCACTGTTGCGGATTTATGGGGGTATGGTGAGCATGTAGGCGCAAGTTGAGGCAGGGACCAGAGTGGTCAAATAATATCAAGAAGCGTTCTGTGCACCATGTTAAGGCCAGACCAACCGACAAAAATCGCGGCTGAGTATTAAAATGCGAGGTATTAGGATGCAGAAAGAGTTGACAAAATTAAATTATTCCGAAATGTTTGATAGAAGTGCATTCCGAAACCGTATTGGGTGAAACGATGCGTGGAAGACGGGAAAACTCAGATTTTGACGCAAATTTATGCTGTATTTGAAAATGCGTGTTGAATTTGGCGAAAACTTTGGGAAAGTAACATGGTCCGAAGAAGAATTCGTATGGCATTTGCAGAGCAATGGTAGTGTGGTATAAATCTGAAAAAATAAATAAGCGAAAATTGTCAGATGCTAGCAACCTAGTCCAATGTTAGAGACGACACACACGTCAAATTTATTAAGTGGTCAGCTACTGGTTCTGGATTCGTGCCGCGATCTAATATGCAGCTAGGCCAATTGTGAGAGTTAGATTTGGTCAGATAAGTAGGCGGTTCCAATAAGCAGCAGGAACCAGCGACCAGTTAGGCGATTCATTCAAATGAGGTGCCAAAATAACGCTAAGTATTGGTTCATTAGTGTTCTCCACGGGGTTGAAAGATCCTTTCTTCTTCTTTAGTTACCAATCTGGCCGGTGACACTCACTTTGGCAGTAAGTCACATGGTCTTCACTGCTTGCCATTACTCGTTACACTCGTAGTGATTTCCGTAAATGAAATGAAGTAGTCTTTTCAAAAGGGCTGGTTACTGTGCGTAATAAAGGTGGTGGTGGTGATTATCTGTACCTACAGTCAGTTCATCTAGTATCCCACGACTGCGATCATTGAGCTAATCACTCGAAGATTATTGTTGGAAGCAAGTACGACGTCACCTTTGTTTCCACTAGTTTCATTTGCTGGTGCTGGTTCACTTAGTGTACCATAGTGATAGTAGGTACAGTTGCGTCAACCTCACAGTGAATCATTCACTGGTTACGGAGATATCTTCGTGGTGGGTATGTTCTAGCTTGCAAGGCTGGCGGCTAATTTAGACAGTCCACGATGCATATGCAAAAGTTCACTTTTAGTCCACCTTTTTTCAAATTTGAATACAATTTCAATCAGCAGTTCATGTACAGGAAGTTTGGTTTTTAACTATTAGACAGGAGGTTATCAACCCCCCCCAGGGAATTCTCGTGATGCCCAATGGTGATTAATTTCCATAGGAATGAAACACCTTCACGGTACTTCTTGGCTTTAAACATGGACTAGCTATACTTTCAGGACTAAATCTCCCTTGATACATAGGAATCTTTTCAGAATGCTAACACAATAATCTGTTTTTACCGTCAGCTGTCTTAGTTTGAAACGTCACTAACCAAAATTCGATTAACTGTGGCAAAACTTCACGAATGTGTGCTAATTAGGGTGAATCCTGTCACTCAATAATGTGCAATATTTTTTGGTTTCGACGTCATCTGTCCATGCGCATGTCCACTCCCTGAATTTAGTTTTTTAGCCGTCAAACTTTGACGGAAAACAACCCGGTTGTTGTTATGTTCGCTGATTCTCCATTACCACTCATACGTCACCGAGACCTCGGAAGACACATTTACAAGTCAGGTTTGAGGAGGGTTGTTTGTCTGATTTTGCTTTAACCTACAAGCGAAGGATATTAACTAGCCAAGGAAAATGCCAACCTCATTGGGGATTAGTTCGATAAAAATAGGCATTACTGAAATTTTGTATGGAAGATGCAAATAAATGGTGAAAATTCATCTTAGTGACTCGTCAGATAGTGAATCACTTTCAGCCACTAATTCACACTTCATAACTTAGCTTCCATCCGTATTTTTACTGTGAAATATAGATATCAAACTGTCATGACACGAAGCCGTCTATCGAGCCAGGTCAAGAGGAAGAGAAAAATGAGGTGATTAAACCTGTTTCTGCCATTGTGATGAGCTTGGAGTAAATCACTTACCGCAATAACCAGAAAATAAATATGTTTTGTTCCGAAGGATTTGGTCCCTCAAGGTTCCTCCGCACCACAGCTACTGTCTCACCGACAGGAATATATATTTTAAGCTCGAGGGTGTTTTTCTCTGGTGCGGAATTTACTGCATTGTACTTACAAACGAACACATTCCCACTTTGATGCAAAAACTACTCAACGGCTCTGCTGACATCTCAGGGAACCGTTCAAACATCGTCACTTGAAGGGTGTTTTTCACCTTGGAGTGATAAGCTCAGATGTGCTGCTGTCCTAGTTAAGAAATTTAGGAAGTAAATATAGCCAGAAAGTGTCAGTGAAAAGTAAGGAAATGAGTAAGCTCAATACATGGTAGGACCTACTGAATAACCAAGAGGTGATCACGAATTCAATAGTGTTAACCAGATACAGTGGTTGATTTGAGAATTTCAACTTTCACGAAACTTACAGATTGTGTGCGTACTATTCCAAGCTTCAAGAGGCAGTGGAATTCCGGGCATCAGGAAGGTTACGGCGCGCTGGTGAGCGTAAACAACAACTGTGCAGCTGCTACAATGCAAACGGTCTACCACCATCTCAAACCAACAGCTTATACTGACCATGATAAACACCAACAACCAACC